ATATATTTCTTAGATCCATGGTATTAGCAATAGGTACTGGAATGGAGGAATACAGGTGAAGCAATGTACTAGAGATCCATTCTAGCAGTTCCATGTTTCTGGGTTAGAAAGGAGAGATCAATTAGGTGGGATCAGTGGAAAAGACTGGTGTTACTATAGCAAGATGTCAGACTGGCTAACCTTTGGTAACATTCATGGTGTAGTGTCTGGAGAGTATGGGAATGAATGAGCCAGGTCAGGTTCTGCAGAGTGGTGCAATATCTCAGTTTAACTGGTCAGGTGTGCCAGGTTCCTCTCTGCTTGGTCTGTGTAGCTCTAGCTGAAGGCTATCTTGCTGATAGTTGTTGAGATCTCCTCTTGATTTGTTTGGGTTCCTTGAGTTTCTGGGGGTGGGAAGTCCTATAATTGAGGTCTATATTCCAGGCAAAGGTCCAGAGGTCCTGATTCTAGACAGAGTATATCATATCTCAGAATCTAACATTCTCAGAGTCTAACACAGCCACTATGAGGTTGCATTTACCATGTAGATAGGAAAAGTTCTCTCCAAGACCAGGAGTTCTTAACTCCAAAGGACATTTATTTATTATACTCCTACTATAGGTGAGGCACAGTGGTAAGCACTTTACAGATATTAGCTTATTTGGCCTTAAATAAACCCTGAGAGTTGGATAGATTTCAGTATGTCTATAAACTTGCATGAGAAAAAAATATTTTATCATTATTTCATATAATTGACTTTCTTGGTAATCCAATGTATTTTATTTTATCCATTCAAAAATATTATTTTGAGAAGGGGTCCATAGGCTTCACCAGATTGGCAGAGGGGTCTATGACACAAAAATGGTCTAAGAATCCCTGGCACAGACTCAAGTGACCTGAGGAGCTGAAAAAAGCGGGATCTGCATGATGTTGGCATGTGTCTAGGACTCAATCTACAGTAACATATCTGATCCTCTGTGATTGAGCTCAGTCACACATCTCTTGAAAATCCAGTGCTTGACAACACTCAGAGAATGTCAGAATTGGAGGAGGAGGCAGGGATAATTGGAGAGAAATTACTTCCCTCCAAAGGTCTATAATTGGGGCTAAACAAAACAGATGAAGGAGAACACAATACACCAGTCAGAGATCATCTGGCCCCAACCCCTCATTTCATACTTGATGAAACCAAGGCCCTTTAAAAAAGATTTGCTCAATGTCACATAGCAAGTTCTTGGGGGTATGGAAGAAGAACTAGAATGAAGATTTTTAACTTGGGGTCTATGAACGAATTTTTAAAATCTATTTTGATAACTATATTTCAACATAATTGGTTTTCTTTATGATCCTATGCATTATATTTTGTGAATTTTAAAACATCATTCTGATTCTATAACTGAATTTGTAATACAAAAAATAGCTTAAGAAAATATGAATTAGAACCTAGGTCACCTGACTAAGGGACCATGTAAAGATGACTTTTCCCATATCAGGTTTTCTTAAACAATAGCCCCCTTAAACATCTTCTTGCCTCAAGTCTCTCCCTACAACTGCTAAAGTGATTTCCTAAAGTGTAGGTCTTACAATGTCACTGGCCTCTAAGGTCCCTTCCAGATCCAAATGTGTGATTTCCCTGCCTACTCAAAAAACTCTGGCAGTTCCTTATTCAATCTAGGAGCAAATACGAACTCTTCCATTTGACATTTAAAGCCCATCACAATCTGGTCCCAATCTACCTTTCTAGTCTTGTTGCACATTTCTCTCTTTCACATAAACCACAGTCCAACCAAACTGGCTGTCTTACTGCTTTTCATATGAAACAATCTGATTCCTGCCTCTGGGCCTTTGAATCCGTTGCCCGCCATGCCTGGAATTCACTCTCTCTTCATCTATCTCTGCTTTTTAGAACCCCTTGCTGATTTCCTTGAACTCACTGCTTGAGTGTTGCCTTCTCCATGAAGTACTCTGCTGCTTGTCTCCTTCTTCCCCTCAAATTACCTTATATCTATTCCTAATGCATTTTGTATATTACTATACATGTACATGTTATCTTTGCTGGACAGATTGTATGGTTCTCAAGGATGAGGATTGTTTCACTTTTGTCCTTATATTCCCAGCACCTGGTATATATCAGGTGCTTAATTAGTGAGGCCCCCAGGTGATGAAATGAATAGGTTACTGGAGTTAGAGTCAAGAAGACCTGAGTTCAAATTTAGCCCCAGACATTTACTAGCTGTGTCATTTAAACCTCTGTCTGCCTCAGTTTTCCTATAAAAGGGATAATAATAGCACTTATCTCCCAGGGGTGTTGTGAGAATAAAATGAGATATTTGTAAAGCATTTTGCAAATGTTACAACACTATACAAATGCTAGATATTATTATTAATAAATATTTGTAGATGGATTGACTGAAAGTTGGGCACATATTATGTGTGTGCCTATATACGTATATATACAGTATATATACTGTATTGACAGCCCATGCCTGTGTGCAAATAGTTATTATGAACCCAAGGCCCTGCCTACTCTTTGTCTAAATTAATTGGAGGAGGGGGAAGGTCAAGAAGGAATAAGGAAAAGTAGGGAGCATCTTGTCCCTTCACACATTCATGCTATACAAGGACAATTCTGATCATTCACAAGCAATGTGGATCTACATTTCAACCTGGCAGGGCATGAGGGAGAGTTATGAGATACCAAATTGTAACCCTGGTATTATTCTTTCTAACCAAAAAAAAAAAAAAGAAATGCAGTCAACTTTCAATTATCCATTAGCAGCTTGTCTCAGGCCTAAACCCCAATCAAATCCCTTTCCATCCTCTCCACAAACCATTAGTGTTTCTGATTGGCACATAATTACACATTAGTACACTATGGAAAATTACATTCCAAATCTAATTACAAACGAGTTTTTAATTTCTCACTCTTTGGAATTATCTGTGCCAACACCTCCGGCCAGAATACAGATAAATGGGAGAATCAAGAACTCAGAGAACAGAAAAAAGATGCAGAGCAAGAGAATACCTGAGGTAGGGATAGTGAGGCAGAAAGAGTAATGGAGACCTGGGCCCAGCCCCAACTTTGTTATAAATAATGCATGAATTTAGGCAAGTCACATACCCTCATCTGTAAAGTTAGAGGGCTTTAAGGTCCCTTCCAGCACTTGTACCCTTCGGTTCCAAAACCACAGTCAATTGTTCATGGAATATATTAAAACAGTCACTTTCCGTATCCCCTCAGGTGAGCCCAATCCTGTTTGTCTCTAGATAGTCTGAGATCTGGACCTTGAAGTCTGCTGGACCACACAGGCAGGAGATTGGAGAAGAACAGGAAAATTAGGACAACTGCATGAAGGGTCCCTTTACCTGCTGGAAACAAGCCATTTAAGAATTTGGAAACTGAATGTTATATAATAATAATTGCACTGGAACGTAGAAATACTTCTAGATACACTGCTGGCCACTCAACATAGCCACATGGTGAGGTCTCTCTACTGCTTCCATAAGTAAAACCAGTGGGGATAAGAGCCCAAAGCAATCCACCTTACCAGGAAAGAAAGTAATGGGGTGTAATGGACTCTAAGGTATGGGTTCTGGTCCCAGTTCTACCTCTAAACGAGCTGTATGAAGGGGAAATATAATTATATAATTTAAATGTATTTTTATATGTATATATAAATGTATATACATATACATTTAAAATTATATTGAATATGTGTGTATTCTCTTCCTTTTCATACAGCCAGTGTGTGTGTATACTCCCTTCCCCTTCATAGAGCCAGTTTATACATACACATAAAATATATTCCAAGATATCAAATATCTTGAGTGAACATCTCTGTGCTTTCTTATTCATATTCTTCACATATACATATATGTATATGTATATATGTGCATGCATATGTATGTGTATGTATGTATACACATACATATGCATGCATATATATGGTGTAATACTGGGGGACCTCACTGGAAGGCTGTGTTGAGTGGCAGCAGTGTCTCTAGGCAGTACCTCTCTAAGCTCTAGTGCAGTTGTAACACTTAGCTTCCAAGTATGTGTGCATTTCACATATGTGTATGTATTTGTAAGTTTTCATAAAGCACTTACTACATGCCAGGCACTTTATAAATATTATCTCATTTGATCCTCACAACAAGGCTTTCGAATTTGAACTCGGGTCTTCCTGAATCAGAGCTCTATCCACTGAGCCACTTAGCTGTCCTCTTGGTGTGACTTTGGTCAAGTCACTTATGTTTGGAACTCAGTGTCCACCTCTACCCTTAAGATGAAGGGATTGAAGCAAGGTGATCTCTAGCATTCTATAAATGAAAACTCTTACATGGAGATCAGTGATAAAGCTCAATGTCATCATTACCACTAGTGAATAATTTATTATAACGATATTAATAAAGATGGCATTATCAAGAATGTGTAGTAGTTCCTTTGTCTTCTGTAAACAAATGAGGAAGTGCGAGGTTCCTTCCCCTTCACAAGGTCAGCTCCAGCTTCAGACCAGCAGAGCCCAGTGCGGGAGAAGCAAAGAAAGGAAGCGGGAGATCAAACCCGCTCCTTCCCCAGCCTTCAACAACAAAGGGCTATCCCACCTGCAGCCTAGCAAGTGAGCGAAAGCTCCCATTTCTCCCAAGAGCTGGGCATTAGCTACGACTCCAGTACCCGCACCCCTCCCCAGGCCTGGATTCAAACCCACTACGCGGGAGGCACAGGGCGTCTTGGCGCCCTCCCAACCCGCCCAGCCACTTGGCTGCTCATCTGTCCCCGCGGGGGGAGGGGGGGAAGGGGGGACGGGCGAGCAGCCCAGGCGCTCCCTCAAGACCTAATCTCAATAGCCTCTAGGACCCAGGGGAGCATTCCCTGGAGAAAGGCTTGGCCCGCCCCCCCGAGCAGGATACCCAATAGAATTCCTCAAAGGATCCTCTTATTTGCATGCCCACGCGCCGTGGCCAATGGGCGATGGGCGTGCGCGTTCCCGACAGGGCCACTCTGGCCGGCTGGGGCCGCTGCGGCTCATTTAGAGAATGGCTGCGGCCGCAGCGGGCGGCTCTTCTTCAGCCGCCTCTGCCTCCGCCGCCACCGGCACCGGCTCGTCCTCCAAGCTTCCACCGACCTCGCCAACCCCCCGGGAGCACCCAGCGCCCCGCCATCCTCCGCAGCTGAGGAAGCGGGGCGACTCCCGCCGCCGACAGGCCGCCCTCTTTTTCCTCAACAACATCTCGTTGGATGGCCGGCCCCCCAGCCTCTTCCCTGGCGGCGAGAAGCCCCCGCCTCAGACTCAGGATGAGAGCGCGTCCGGGCAGGCGGCGGCGGCGGCCGGGGAGTCCCCCGCCGGGCACCCGCTGCCTCCCTCTGCCGTCGGGCCGTCCCGTCCCGGGGCCCCCAACGGGCCTCCCCCAGCCCCGGCCCTGCTCTTGCAGCTGCCCAAGGACAGTCCCCTGCCGCCGGCCCGCGGCGAAGCCGAGCCCCCGGGCCCCCGAAGCGGCGTCTTTCTGCCCCAGCTGCTGCTGCTTGGGGGTCAGCTGGGCTCGCCCGGCCCGCTCACCGCGCCCCCCTCCGCCGCCGCCGGGGCCGCAGCCGCCGCGGGTATGTCGGTGCTGGGGGGCAAGGGCGCCCCCCCAACCCCGCAGGGGCTCCTCAGCCCCACGCAGACCAGCAGCGGCTTCACCTTGGAGGTCCAGCGGCAAAGGTGAGAGTCCTGCGGGCAGATGGGGGCGGGGAGCGCCCCGCAGAGGGCCGGGGTGGGGGGGCGCTGGGAGGATGCGGGGAGAGGTGGGAGCACCGTGGAGCCCCACTTTGGGGTATCCGTGCTCGCCTGGATGCTGCTGCTGAGTTCTGCACCCCTCGACCCGAGCACCCCGCCCCCCACAACTCCTTCCAAAGACTCCCTCCAGCATCTAACTTATTTACCTTTTTTTTGTGGTTTCCCTTCCGTCTCAGGAAACACACATGACAGTGTGTAGATGACTTTTTTTTTTTTAGCAGCATATCCAGGCTTCTGCTTTTGCTTTTTCTTTCCCCCCCCTTCCCAGTTTATGCTTTCACCTCATGAACAAGTGTTTGGGCCATTGCTCCAGTGCTGATGCCTTACCTGCCTCCCATCATTTCCTGACAGCATCTTCTGACCCTTCTGTCAGCAGGAGAAGATGCTTAGGCATATCTCACGTTTAAAAACTGTAGTGTTTGCAAATAGGGTCCCGTCCTGAGGTTTGTTTTTAGGTTCTTTAAAGCAGACCAACCGTGAGCGTTTTTTATGAATTGTTTTCATGACCTTGATGGCTATTTTGTCTTCAGAAAATAGTTTATATTTGAAGTAGTTCTTACTTGGAGCTGTAAAAAGTTCTACTTATAACAGTTCTTTTCCCAAGAAGTGAACATTAATTCAAACCCCACTTGAATTATCAGCCAAGACTCCCCAAAGATGCTTCCTTGAAAGCAAATTAATTTCAGTTTTTTTAAGAGAGCCTTCAGAAGCTTATCTTGTGCATTTTAATTTATGTTGAATTCCTAAATTTATGTTAAATAAAAAAGATTAATTTTTTAAGCAGATAGATGTAAGTAATTACATATTTTGCTTGAAAACTATTTCGTGTGTGCGCTCATTTTTAATTCTAGAGGAAAATAAATTGAATTGAGCTGGCGCTTCACCCCAAGTGAAACTCTTATGTATTTCAGAAGATGATTTTGGTGTAGCTATGTGTAGCTAGTTCTACCCGATGAGTTATTTAGGGAGAGCTTTATAAAAGCTGTCATTTGATACTTTACAATAGTAAAGAAATCTCTAGGTCAAATTGGGCCAACAAACATTATAGTGCCTACTCTATACCAGGCAGGCACTGTGCTAAGTTCTGGGGATACAAAGAAAAGTAAACAGAAAAGGCCCCTGCTCTCAAGGAACCCCAGTCTAATGGTGCAAATAACTAAGTACAAACAAGATATATACTCTACAGGATAAATTGGGGAAACTTTCAGAGGGAAGGCACTAAGATTCAGGAGGACTAGAAAAAGCCTTCTTGCAGAAGATGGGACTTGAGCTTTGAATCTGCCATCAGTAAAATAATTGATCTTTTTTACAATAGCATTTTCTAAATGTTAGTGATTTTCTTTAAAGGGGGTAGGGAGGAGAGAAAGAGAGAGAGATCTTTAGCTAATAAATGATTATAAGGCACTGGATTTATAAGTCACTCTTAGGGCTGAGTCTGATGCCGTTTGTTTTTTAAAAAACTAACAGAAACACCTTTTTTAATTGTAAAAATTTAAATTTCTTAACCAGAATGAAATAACACAAGTTAGTCCAAAGTGTAATTATAACTACAGTGATTTTCCTGGGCCTATCAGGAAAGGCATCCAACATAAAAGTGCTTGTTCAGTTGATCTTACTGGATTTCAATCTTCTGATGTGGTCTAGGAAAGTAATCTCCGGAAAACAGATCTATTCTAGCTGTAATAACAAGGGTCTTAAGAAAATTGAGTTTTAATGTTGTCATGTGTTTAAAACACTATGTTTTTCAAACTTCGTATGTAAAATCATTGCCAGCCTTGTGACTGGTATAAACACTGCAGTAGAAGTGTGAAGCAGTAGAAAACTATCATTACATGGTGTTTAATTACCTATGTTTTTAAGGTCATTTTTGCATTATACAAGATTATTTTATCTCTATAGTAACATGATGCTTTCTGTATAGAAAAACTATGGATAATTATGTGTTGACTTACAATTGTAGTCAATTTGCAATGTGTCCTGAAAGGTTATCTATTAATTAAATCATTTATTCTGAGTGGGTACTAGAGAAATCTGAAGATAGGATAATCACAGCCTAGTTTACTTGTTATACATTGGGATTTTTAAAAATATGATTTTCTCAGTGATACATGGCTCATGCTGATACTACTTTAGAGGTTCAGATAGTAACTACCATTCCTTAGAGTTCTCTTCCTAGTTGTTTTTAAGATACAAAAATAGCAAGTATATTGAAGTTATTAAAGTAAGCTAGGCATTGGATATAACTTTTATTAATGTGATGGCTTGACTTTTGGTCTGGAATTGATCATTGTAGTTATGCCACTGAGTAAATGAATGAATCATCTGAATTCTTAATCTCCTAACAAAAATATTATCTCCTAGATAGATTTCATTTTTATTATGCTAAGATGCTTTAAAAATAACAAATAAGCTGCATTTTTACAGGTTTCTTGATTTTCTTCAAAACAAGGATTTTTAAAAAAATTTCTTCTTTTGGTTTTTTTTTTGTCCTTATTTGTCTTTGCCTTTCATATTTTGTCACACTTCTTTGGAAGGTGAGCTGAGTTTTGAAGGATACTAGAAATTCTAGAAGGTAAAGTCTAGGAGGAGTTCATTACAAATGTGGACGGCTTGTTCAAAGGCATGCAGACAGGAGATGGAGTATTGTGTGAAAAACTGCAAGAAAGCCCATTTGGTTGGATCATGGAGAGTGTAAAGGGGGAGTAATGTATAAAGCTGCAAAGGCAGGTTAGAGCCAAGTTGTGAAGGGCTTGAAAAGCCAAAGGAGTTTGTCGCTTTTGCCTCTAGAAATAGACACTGGAATTTGAGAATCGGAGTGACTTGGCCAGACTTGAGCTTTAGGAAAGTCACTTTGGCCCCTTTGAAGAGGATGGCTGGAGAAGGGAGAGGCTTGAGGCAGAAAGGCCACGTAGGAGACTCTTGTAATACTCTTATCAAGAGGTGCCTGAAACCTGAATTGTAATGGTGGCCATAGTAATAGAGAGGCAATTAATTCAAGAGTTGTCATGAAGGTAGAATAGAGGAAACTTGGCAACTGATGGATATTTGGGGTAAGGGAGAATGAGGAGCTGAGGATGACTCAAGTGTGTGACTGGAAGGATGTTGATGCCTTCAATAAAAACAGTGAAGTTAAGAGAGGAATGCTTATGGAGAAAGATAATAAGCTGTGTTTTGGACATGTTAAGTTTGAGGTGCTTATAGAACACCCATCCAGCTGGACATTTCCACCACACTGGTGATGTGGGATCATAGGATCATTTATCTGGAGTTGGACAGGACCAATCCCCTGATTTTACAGATGAGAAAACTGAGGCCCAAGGAAATCAAGTGACTTGCCAAGGGCCATACAAGTACTAAGTGTAAAAGGTAGGTTTTGAACCCACATCTTCTGATTCTAGAGCCAGTGCTCTTTCAACTTCTATAATCCAGGATATATAACCAGACTAGATGTTTAGATCTGGAAGTCATCTGCACAGAGATGCTAATTAAACTCATAAGAACTGATGAGGTCACTGAAAGAGTATAAAAAGACGAACCAGGACAGAGCCTTGGGGTGCACCCACAGTAAGGGGGCAGGATTTGAAACATTATCCAGCATAGAAGACTGTCAAGCAGGCGAAAACCAAGAGAAAGTAGTGTCATTAAAAAACCAGAGATGAGAGGGCGGTCACCAGTGTGAAATGTTGCAGATAGCTCAAGAAGGATAAAGAATGAGAAACAGCTACCAGATCCAGCCATTAAGAAATCATTGGCAACTTGAGAGCAACCTCATTCCATTAAAGTCAGAAACTACATTGCAAAGTACTGAAAAGTTGAGGAAATGGCACCAAAGAGAGAAGAAAACTTTTTCTAAGAGTGTGGTTATAAAAGAGAGAGGGACCTTAATAGTCATCAAGTCCATCCCTTTCATTTTACAGATGAGGAAACTGAGGCCCAAAGAGGAATTTGATCTCAGGTGTTCCTGACTGTAGGTCTAGCACTTTTTCCACTAATCTACCCAGCTGCCCACAGTAGAAATGATAAATATTTCTAGATAGGGATGAGAAGAGGATGACCTCTTAATCAAGTCCAGTGGCTTTTATCCTAGGTATCATTCTACCCTCATTAATTAAGATTTACAAAGTTTTATTGCGCAAAAGTCAATTATTTTTTTTAAATGAAGCATTTTTATTGCCTTAAGAATATTCTCTATAATCAGTCATTGGAAGTATCTCCCAGATTGTAAATCCAAAGAGGAAAGAAACCTTAGTCCCACAGTCTAAACAAACCAAAGCCCAGGGGCAGCTAGGTGGCACAGTGGATGGAGCACTGGCCCTGAAGTCAGGAGGACCTGAGTTCAAATGTGACCTCAGACCAAACACTTGACATTTATTAGCAGTGTGACCCTGGGCAAGTCACTTAACCCCAATTGCCTTGAAAGAAAAGAAAAAGAAACCAAAGCCCGGAAAAGTGAAGTGACTTGCCTAAAGTCAGACAGGTGGGAAGCTTCAGAAATAGGATTTGACCCAAGTTCTCTGGCTCCAGAGCCAGTGTTTTTTCTACTGTACCATTCTACTTTTTTCCCAGACTTTGGTTTTAGAGCACTGATAAATATGCTTTTTTTTGGGGGGGGGTATGTAACAAAATGCTTATAAATTTGGAGTTAATAATCTAAATATAGATACTTCAGTAGTATATAATTTTATATATCCCTTGTGTCTCTTATAGTTTCTAAATCCAGATTGCTAGTAATTCGAAAAAATTCACACAAAACATTACAAAATGATTCAAGAGAAGTTCTCAATATTAAAACATCAGTTTAATTAGTAACTGGCAAAAACCCCATTTAATGGTCAGATTAGGGAACCAACTCAGGAGAGAAGGAGAAGCTTCACAGAATGGAATTCTGTGTGGTTATTTATTGCCTTCTTCATAACTTACCCATT